TGGACACACACATACCCCTTACATATATAAATCCAGGTGACTTTGGCTGCCAGGTCTGGTAATAACCCATGGTCTGGATATCTGTTAGACATGGGATTTGGTGAATGAGCTCAGAGGGATGGTAAGGGTGTTCTGGGGACAGATCACCAGGTTCTGATCCCTACTCCTCAAATTGCTGGCTGTGTGGTCTTGGGCAATTACTTAACTTCTCTGATGGCCTGTTTCCTCCTATGTAAAATGGAAAGGATCAGAGCAGTAATACCTACTCATATGGGTGCTGTGAGAGCTAAAGTGGTTAATCTGAATAAAACACTAGAATGATGCCTGACATACACTAAAAGCTAGTTACGGTGACTTAACTGGTAGATTCTTAGGAGATCTACATGTCTCCCACTAAAAAAATACCTAACTAACCAAATTATAGATCATACTTTATTTAACCTGATGGCTGACCACTCTACCTAAAATGGATGGATATTTCAGTAAGTCAAATTAAATAATGTGGTTAGAATAGATTTTTTTTCCTCCATAATTACTCTGGGGTTTCTCTGTGTAATAAGCTCCAATCCTTGCAAGCACATTTCCCATTTTCGTCTGTGAGCTATGGCTGTGTCAGGCTGGGCCAAATTTCATTTATTTATTAATCACGTATTCACTGAGTTCCTGCATATGACAGACACTGAGCCAGGCCCCGGTGTTACAAGGACAAGAGACAGCGAAGTGCAGATAAGCATCCAGTCAGTGAGGCTCAGAGTGGTAAGTGGTAGGAAAAGAGAAGTGGAGGGCGACCTGAGAGCCACTAAGGGGGCTTCATCCAGCCTGGGGGCCACTGAGCAAGGCTCCTTCATGAAAGTGTGACAAGCCTGGAAGAAAAGCAGAATTTATCTGGGTGGAGCTCGAGGTGAAACAGGTTTCAGAAGAGAATAGTACTCAAAGGACCCTATGTACCAGGGGTTTATATTGCTCAAGAGTAATTATACCATGTATATATTAGTGATACATCTCTTAACTGTAATGATTGAGGTGGTTGTTTGGTGGCCCATATATACAATAATTCAAGTCCTTTGTGATGCAAGACAGAGTAAAGTTAAAAGTCAGCATTTACCAACAATTTATTAGGTTGGGGACTTCATGCATTATCAAAGTTGCCCCTGCAATATCATATACAATTTAAATTGTTTTACAGATGTGAAAACTGAGGTCCCCTTTCCTAGATAGTAAGGCAGTAAGTCATGAAATCTGGATAACTTGGCTCCTCCTTTGCCTTGAACTGCACTGTGTTCTATTGGTACCCAGGGAGATGTCTCCCATGCAGCAGTGTATGGTATAATGATTACAAACTATTAGACCTTATAATACAATGTCTCTAATAGAATCTGAACTCACTTCTCAGCTGTATAAGTTTGGGTAAGTTGCTCTGTATGTCTCAATTTTCTCATTTTTAAAATAGGTCTGATAATACTGCAACAGAGTTGCTGGGAGTATCAATATGTTTACTATTTAAATAAGTTTACTCCTCAGTGTTCCAAAGTGAAGTGAAGCATGCATTCCTCCCACAATGATCTGATGATGTCTACCACTCCAAGACAGAATGGAATTAAACAATGTAAAAACTCTCATTATTGTGCCCCAGACCCACTCTCTGAGAGTCATTTTGGTATATGGGGAGAACTGAACCCCTTTGAGGAACTCAAGGAATATTAGCTAGTTGTAAAAGGAAAAACTTCAGAGCTTTGTATTTCTCTTCCATGACAGTCATCAACAACCCCAGATGGCCTCCGAAAAAGAACTACTAGCTCTTGGGGTAAGTCAGCCCTAGTTAAAAATTTGGTTCAAGGTGGATAAAATATCATGTGGAAAATCTTGTTCATGCCTGGCAGGAGGACCATCTGAGTCACTCAGCTCCCAGGCAAAAATATTGCTCCCTTAAGGAAAGACTGGGGCATCTTCTAGTCCTGGGAAGTGGAAATGCAGAGGCATAATCTCAGGGTAGAAAACACCCTTTCACATCACACTGGAGAATGGACTCTGCGTTCAGCTCAGGAGGCTGAGCTCTGGAAACTCATACTCCATATTTTAAATTAAGAAATTGGATTGAGGGAAGGCTGAGGGGAATGCTGGTCACCGTGTGCCTGCCTCCATCATACTGTGGCCCCAAAGCACGTGGGAGATAGTTTGACTCAATCTGTGTTATCAGCCAGATCTCTCTTCCCCTTCTTCAAATTCTTTAAGGAGTTGGTGAGAATGGACAGAAGTTGGGGTGAGGTGAAGATTAGGGGTGGCACCTAGATTGGTGGAAACAGCATGAAACAAAACCTCCAGAGAGAGCACCTGCCTGTTAGATTAGGCTTGAAAATGTAACTGTTTCAAGCACTGAGATCTCCTTTCAGAAGAAAATAAAAATAATCTGTTCTCAGTATGCACTCATATATGACCACTGTGCTTTTTTTGCTTCCCTTCTCACAGACCCTGGAGATCCTGAGTGGAGCAATAATTCTGGTTGTGGGTGTTTTTCTGGGTGCCATACAAGGCATATTCCAACTCTTTGAGCAGTACTCTTACTTCACCTTGTACACAGGCCATCCGATATGGGGCCCTGTGTTCGTGAGTATTCCAGTTTCCCTGACTAGAGATCATTCCTTAGGTACCATTGCTAGAAATGTTTGCTTATTTAAGTGTTGTTCTCAGGGTATCTGAAAGTTGCCTGCTGGGGGTTTGATTTGTAATTCTTGACACAACAAGTTTGAAAAAGCGCCCTTCTTTCTGATGAAAAGAAATCACATTTGCTGTATACAGATTGTCTCAAACATTATTTAATGTCCATGTATTAAATTTATGAATTCCAAGAAGATTGAATGACAAATGAGCATTGTTGAATTGTCCTGTGGTGCAACCAAGAGTCCTACTCTGGGAGATGAGAGATTTGCCTGTTTTTACTGTCTGAAAATCAGAAGAATGATTTCCCCTCAGTGGGGAGAATGTAATAAGTAAAATAGGATTTTAGTGTACGTGCTTTGAAATATTTTGCATTCAGCTTTGTCATATGATATTACCTAGCTGATGAGTCATTTTTTAAAAAGTGGTTAATAGGAACTATTTGTTAAGCAGCAACTTCTTTTTCTTGTTTATTCTGGTATTAGACTTTTGAAATTTTATACATGTTGAGTCTTGGACAGAATATGAAAACAAAGTTACACTTATGAAATCTAAGATGAGGAATTTCAGTTAAAAATGGTGAATAGAACATGTAACTGTCAAATGAAGAAGAAGGAAATCTATGACAAGTTGGCTTTAAGCTTTTAGTTTTCCAAAATCACTGGCCTTCAGATCTCCATAGAAAAGATATTACTTCTAAATTGGCCAAAATCTATTGGCCCAAATCAGATTTCATATTCTAACAAAAGATTATATTCTGTCTCAGGATACAGTCCAAAACGTAATTTAGATTTAACATTTCTGAAATTTTTAGGGAGTTCATATTTTCATTTTGATGGAATAGTTATAATTTAAAATTTTCAAGAAAATCTGGGTACACATTGGGTCTGCATAATGAATCCTGACTCCCTAAATGGAAACTTTTCATATTGTAGAAGAGGATAATGAAGTGTCTCAATTATTTAATTTGAAAAGAGTTTCTTTTTCTCAGAAAGTGAGGTCAATTTGTCAAAAAAAAGAGCCATGGTCAGGGAGCTGGAGTTCAGTATCCTCAACACTGAGATTCAAATCTGACATTGGATTCCCTTTGCTGGAAGTTCTCTCTAGCTCTGCATCACCTACCAAGCAAAGTCTAAGGTCCAGGACTGGCACAAAGCCTTCACATCTGGCCTTACCTCCAAGGACACCCTCATCTCCCGCCTTCCCTCTCTGTATGTACACCGTGCTGTGTGCTGACTGGGAGAGTCCCTCTGTTTGCCCAGTCTTTTCTCTGACTAATCTTTACTAATGTGATTTTGGAAAAGATGTTTAAACTGTCATCCTTCAGTTTCATCATTGACATGGTAGAAATGATATCAGGACCTTCTCTTTGGGTCACTGAAATTAAGTGGGATAATGTATGTCAAAACCTCAGCTATTGTCAATAACCAGTGCTTTCTGTATGGTGGGTGCATATCTAAGCCCTATCTTTGTACTATTTCATTTTATTCCCATACGAGGCAAATAATACTTACAAGGGGATATGCACATCTCTATTTTACAGAAGAAAAAACCTGTGACAAAGAGGGTTTGATAATCTATTTAAGGTTACAGAATGAATATGAGCTGAAGATGGGATCAGAACACAGAGCATTTGCTCTCAACCATGAAGCTATCATGACTCTAGAGTTTTCTGTGACAACCTCTTTGTTATTAGAAATAGAATTCAAAGCCTGTCTCTTCATGTTGTCAGAATCCAATAATTGATGTTTAAGTAGCAAGCTGTTGTTCTGCATGATTTTTGAAAATTTCCCCTCAGCTGTAGTAGTGCCTTGGTAAATATTTGTGAGTTTGATGAGGTAAGAAACAGAATGAAGTTTTTGAGAACACTGTGAACATCTAGAAAGCTCAGTTTATCAAACTAGTGTCACGGAAAGAACAGCAAATCAAAATAATAAATTAAAAAGTAGTTTATATCTCGATGTAGACACTTAAAATTGTAAAGTTTCTTTTGGAACATCTAGTCCAAAAAATCAAAAGGTTATAAAATATGAGAAACTTGGGTAAAAATCTATGTAAATCAATTTTATTTACATTTAACATAAATTAAAGCATAAAGATAATAATAGTACTTTAAATATATGTCTGTTGTATGTTTTAAAGTATCCACACTCATGCAAACCTGTGAAGAGTCATAGAAGAAAATGAAATTATTATAATTTGCTCAATATTGAAATTAATTAAAAATTTTATTTATATAAAATCATGAGCAACACCAAGTATAATTTTGTGTCCTAGGATGTGGATTTTAAAAAGAGGTTTTTGTATGATTATTGCTAGATGTCTGATAATTCAAGGGAGGACCAGGAGAAAATGGTTGAGATTCAGTATTCCTTTATCTGCTTCATTTTCTGTTTCAGTTTATTTTTTCAGGATCTTTCTCTATTGCAGCCAGAACACAATCGGTAAGATGGCATTTTTCCTATTTTTCTATGATCATAGAAGTAAAAATAAATTAACCATTAATAGTGGGTTATAGAGGTTGGTGAATTCAACTGAGATTCTGAGTTTTCTTTATTTACAAAAAAACTAATTTTTTCCCTATCACATTCTGATGGTAGATCATCAGAAAACCATATCGACTGTGAAAATAATTAACTGGGATGGTGACTATGAATATTTTCTGAATATAAAGCTTAGCAAAGGCTTCTTGATTTTTATATGTTGTTAAATTTGACCAATTCTAATTATTTTGAGTGTCTTCTCTCCTACCACTAGTTCCACAATTGGAAATCATAAATTCTATTCCTCTAGTGATTCATTAAACAATTACTAACTCTCTCTTATGTGTGCCTTCTAAATAATCCACTCATTTATACTTTTACACTATGAATCTATTAATTCACTCCTGCCTAGATGGCTATTTCACCTTTATATTCTTTTATTTCACCTTTATAATCCCTTTTCTGTTATCTTTACTCTCTGTTGATGACCTTGATTCCCATTCTGAGAGACTCAAGCCACTGGAAGCGAACTTGCAGACCCCACTATAGCATGTACTTCATGAACCAGTTCTGTACCCGTATCTAATTTTGCATTCTGACCTCTTATCAGTGGTCATCACCTCTCTGTGATTAACATTAAAGCCAGCTCTCCTAATGAATACTAGATTCCATTCCTTTATGCCCACACAACTCCATCACTCCAATTCTCTTTCTAATACATCTTTTAATTAGCCTATAAGCCTCCACTTCCACTCTCAAAAGAAAACTTATCTTGCCCTTATTTTCTCCTGCAGGTACAGGCACAATTCATTTCTCTTCTGTGGCTAAACTCCTTAAAGAAATGGAATCTACTCTGATTCCTTTCTCCTGAGTTTCAACTAAATAAACTCCAATAAGGCTTTTTCTTCCATGTCCTCTGTATCTCTCTTTAAGACCCCTGAACACTCCCTCACTGGTAGCACAGAGGTCAGCTCTCCATCCTCATTTACTGTGACCCATGAGCAGCAGTTAGCACACACGGGGTCATTCCCTCCTCCTTCCAGTAATTTCTTCACCTGCCTCCCCGGACACCTGGACTGGCTCATTTTCCTCCTGTCTTTTGGTCTCTCCTCCTCAATCTCATTTCCTAGTTCTTCTCTCTGACCTTTTAATGGTGGGGTGCCCCAGAGATCAATATGTTGTCACCTGCTCTGCGTATTACTTTGGTGATCTCATCCATTCTCATGGCTTTGAATGACATCTGTATACCCACAACCCTGAAATAAATTCTTGCAGCCCAGATCTCTCTGCTGAGGATGAGACGGGCATATCTAATTGTTTCCAAATAGAGTTCTAAAGGTTCCAAAGCTCTGCTCCTAACCTTCGTCAGGCCTTCTCCACCCTCTGTCCTCCTCACGTCCGCTGATGGGAGCTCCGTCCTTCCGGATTCCAGCACAAGGCCTTAGAGTCACCCCCGATTCTTCTTTCTATGACAATCTTGAATCCAATTTGTCAGCAGATCCTGCTGGACCAATGGTCAAGCTAAATCTGATTTTTTTTCTCATCTTTGTGCTGATAACCCCTCATCCAATCTACCATCATCTTCCTGAATTGGACTCCCCTCTTCTATCCCTGGCCCTCTCTAAACTAGTCTCCCTGGGACCATCAGCGTGCTCCCTTTGAGGTATCTATTTAATCGTGCCACCCCTTTGCTCAGAACCCTCTAGTAAGAACCCCGGTCCTTCCCAGGACCCGCCAGGCCTCCTGCTCCCCTGCAGCTCACTTCCTCATCCTGGCTGTTAGGTCCCCGCCCTCCAGCCCCCTGGCCCCTCCTGCTTCCCGAGCTCTATGGCCTCATCTCAGGGCTTCGAGCTGCACTGAATGTTTCATGTGACACGGACTTCCCTGCAGACACCCTCCTGGCTAGTCCCTCAGCTCTTCACTGCCTCTCCTCTTTTGCCATTCCCGTTAACAGCACAATCCTCCACCCCTCTCTCCAGATTTACTTCCAGAGGCTCCTCATTTTTCTCTATTTTCCTATAGTACTTGATCGCTTTAAAAAATACTGTATAGTTTACCTATTTGCTTGTTTTCTTTGTCTTTACTGGTAGAATATAAGCTCCATGAGGGTGGGGATCTTTGTTTATTGATGTTTGCCCAGCATCTAGGATATTGTGGGCATGGAAATGAACTTCAAATGTATTTATTTTTAAATGAGTTTTAGCCAGAGGAAGGATGTACTACTACCTGTATTAATTGAAAATTTTTATTCTTTTTTAGATCCACAAGCGTGTTTGGATAGACTTTGCCAGTGCTACAATCACAGTAGTGGGGGTTGTTTTACTCTCGATAAATTTAGTATTTAATAATAAGGTATTGAAGAATTGCCTCCTCGCAGAATCACCAGACTCATTATGCCTTTACATAACCTCTTCAAACAATGTATGTATAAGACTTATGTTTAATTATAAAATATTTCAAATAATCTGAAATGTTCAGAAAAATAATATATTAAGTGCATGGCACCTGGATTTGAATCTTGGCTTTGCCACTTATTAGCACTGTCTTCAAGGGCAAATTAGATAAGCTCTCTAGGTTTCAAATTTCTCATCTTTGAAATGGGGATAGTGTAGTACCAACCTTACAGGTTCAGTGTACGAATTAAATAAGTTAGTATTTGATAAGCAATTAAGATATCAAACATTGTGTTAGATTATTATTATTAATATTATTGCTACCACAACGACTGTTACACTCCCAAGAGAGATTAAAATACTAAATAATGTTATTTCACATCTTGCTTGATAAAACTAAGAAGGGAGATTTACAATTTTCTCTGTGTTCTGGGATTGTCAAGCAATGACTTATTGAAGTCTTGAATAGCTTCACTTTTGAATTTTGAGTGTGTGATTTTAAAGGCGAGGGTCTTCAATAACCTTTCCAAATTATTTTAGTTGTTGTTTGTGGTCAGCGATTCTCCCTCTTCTGAGGTCCACTTAGAAGTTAACATCTTCCTTCATTTGTCCATTTTCCCCATGATGATTTATGAGCTGCTCTTACTGACTCACTCGTAACCCTTATGTTTGCTGACTCTCCCGTCTGCTTCCCTAGCATTGCAAAGAAAATTTTATGGGATAATGATTTGTGGGGTTTCTGGGGTTGGTGTTCTTATGTTCTTTAATATATTTTTAGTTGTCTTTCTACTTATATGGGTCAGATTTTCCCTGGTTTTGTGGTATTTTCCTTCTAGAGAAATTTTGTGTTTATTTTCTCAGTGATAATGGAAGGATCACCAGCCTAGTGAATTTGTGTTTAACATCTCAGTTTAGTGTTTCATTTCCATGGGTATTTAAATACCCAAACACCTTATGAAGGCTTATTAATGAAATGATGAGGGATCAACTTTTTCTATTTTCCTGAGATGCCAACTCATCTCCTTAGTTTACTGTTACTCAGATTAGTAGATGTTAGTATTAGGATCAGAATTTTGCCTCTATAGCTTCTTCCCCCATGATTACTTCACATGAGTTGACAGAGAAATACAAAGTGTCATCCTGTCCAGGGAAATTGTGTCCATGTTTTTAGACTGACAGTGTTTCTTTCATAGAGTGTTGGTGTATATCTGTGTTTTCTACCTAATTTATGGTTCATTTTGCTCTCTTTTATTGAGGGTAATTACTGTAGTTTGGTTTTTCTGATGACATTTTTTCCTCTGAAAGTTTGCATGGATTTGATCTGAGGCATCATATTCCCTAGGGAATGTTGTCTCTAATGCTGATCTTTACCTTGCTGGAATCCTGCGTGGCCATCTCTATGACAATCATGTGGTGTAAAGGAAAACAACTGGAATCGTCACAGGTGGGTTTGTTTAGATAACTAACAAGTCACACGTTCTCCAACCTCCTCTAGGGTTTAGGGTTGTCTCTAAGAATTGGAAATTTTTTTTTATTAAGTTATCATTGATGCACAATCTTAAGAAGGTTTCACATGAGCAGCATTGTGGTTACCATATTCACCCATATCATCAGGTTCCCCACCATGCCCCATTGCAGTCACTGTCCATCAGCAGAGTAAGATGCTACAGAGTAACTACTTGTCTTCTCTGTGCTATACTGCCTTCTCTGTGACCCACCTACATTATGTATGCTAATCATGTCCCTCAATCCCCTTCTACCTCCCTCCTCCCCCACCCTCTCCCACCTCTCCCCTTTGGTAAACCAGTAGTCCCTTCTTGGGTTCTGTGAGTCTGCTGCTGTTTTGTTCCTTCAGTTTTGCTTTGTTGTTAGACTTCACAAATGAGTGAAATCATTTGGTACTTGTCTTTCTCTGCCAGACTTATTTCATTAAGCATAATACCCTCCAGCTCTATCCATGTTGTTGCAAATGGCAGGATTTGTTTTCTTCTTATGGCTGAATAATATTCCATTGTGTATATGTACCACATCTCCTTTATCCATTCATCTACTGATGGACACTTGGGTTGCTTCCATATCTTGACTGTTGTAAATCATGCTGCAATAAACATAGGGGTGCATATGACTTTTTGAATCTGGGATCTTGTTTTCTTTGGGTAAATTTCTAGAAGTGGAATTCCTAGGTCAAATGGTATTTCCATTTTTAGTTTTTTGAGGAACCTCCATGTTGCTTTCCACAATAGCTGACCAAATTTACACTCCCAACAACAGTGTAGGAGGGTTCCCCTTTCTCCAAATCCTTGCCAGCATTTTTTTCCTTGTCTTTTGGATGGTGGTCACCCTAACTGGTGTGAGGTGATATCTTATTGTGGTTTTAATTTGCATTTCCCTGATAATTACCCATGTGGAGCATCTTTTCATGTGCCTGTTGGCTAATTGTGTTTCTTCTTTGTAGAAGTGTCTGTTTAGATCCTTGACCCATTTTTTAATCTGGTTATTTGTTTTTTGGGTGTTGAGGTGTGTGAGCTCTTCATATATTTTGGATGTTAACCCTTTTTCAGATGAGTCATTTACATATATATTCTCCCATACTGTGGGATGCCTTTTGTTCTACTAATGGTGTCCTTTGCTATACAGAAACTTTTTAGTTTGTCGTAGTCCCACTTGTTCACTATTGCTTTTGTTTCCCTTGCCCAAAGAAATGTATTCATAAAAAAGTTGCTGATGTTTATATTCAAGAGATTTTTGTCTATGTTTTCTTCTAAGAGTTTTATGGTTTCTTGACTTACATTCAGTTCTTTGATTCATTTCCAGTTAACTTTTGTGTATGGAGTTAGACAATAATCCAGTTTCATTCTTCTACATGTAGCTGTCCAGTTTTGCCAACACCAGTTGTTGAAGAGGGGGTCATTTCCCCATTGTATAACCATGGCTCTTTTATCATATATTAATCGGCCATATATGTGTGGGTTTATATCTATGGTCTCTATTCTGTTCCATTGATCTGTGGGTCTGTTCTTGTGCCAGTACCAAATTGTCTTGATTATGGTGGCTTTGTAGTAGAGCTTGAAGTTGGGGAGCATAATCCCTCTACCTTTGTTTTTCTTTCTCAAGATTGCTTTGACTATTCGGGGTCTTTTTTGGTTCCATATGAATTTTAGAACTATTTGTTCTAGTTTGTTGAAGAATTCTATTGGTGTTTTGATAGGGATTGCATTGAATCTGTAGATTGCTTTAGGCAGGATGGCCAATTTGACAATACTAATTTTCCTATCCACAAGCATGGGATAGATTTCCATTTATTGCTGTCTTCTTTAATTTCTCTCATGAGTGTCTTGTAGTTTTCAGAGTATAGGTCTTTCATCTCCTTGGTTAGGATTATTCCTAGGTATTTTATTCTTGATGCAACTGTGAATGGAATTGTTTTCCTAATTTCTCTTTCTGCTAGTTCATCGTTAGTATATAGAAATGCCACAGATTTCTGTGTGTTAATTTTGTATCCTGCAACTTTGCTGAATTCAGTTATTAGTTCTAGTAGTTTTGGGGTAGATTCTTTAGGGTTTCTTATGTATAATATCATGTCATCTGCAAACAGTGACAGTTTAACTTCTTCCTTACCAATCTGGATTTCTTTGTGTTGTCTGATTGCTACTGCTAGACCTCCAGTACTATGTTGAATAAAAGTGGGGAGAGTGGGAATTCTTGTCTTGTTTCCAATCTTAGAGGAAAAGCTTTCAGCTTTTTGCTGTTAAGTATGATGTTGTCTGTGGGTTTGTCATATATGGTCTTTATTATGTTGAGGTACTTGCCCTCTATACGCATTTTGTTGAGAGTTTTTTTAATCATGAATGGATGTTGAATTTTGTAGAATGCTTCTTCAGCATCTATTGTGATGATCATGTGATTTTTGTCCTTTTTGTTGCAGTGGTGTATGATATTGATGGATTTTCTAATATTATACCATCCTTGCTTCCCTGGAATAAATCCTACTTGATTATGATGGACCAAAAATTGGTGTTTTTGATGTATTTTTGAATTAAGTTTGCTAATATTTTGTTGAGTATTTTTACATCTATGTTCATCAGAGATATTGGTCTGTAATTTTCATTTTTTTGTGATGTCTTTGCCTGGTTTTGGTAGTAGAGTGATGCTGTCCTCATAGAATGAGTTTGGAAGTATTCCCTTCAATTCTGCTTTTTGAAAAACTTTAAGGAGGATGGGTATTAGGTCTTCACTAAATGTTTGATAAAATTCAGTGGTGAAGCCATCTCATCTAGGGGTTTTGTCCTTGGGTAGTTTGTTGGTTACCAATTCAGTTTCATTGGTGGTAATTGGTCCATTCAGATTTTCTCTTTCTTCCTTGGTCAATCTTGAAAGGTTGTATTTTTCTAGAAAGTTGTCCATTTTTTCTAGGTTATCCAGTTTGTTAGCATACAATTTTTCATAGTGCTCTCTAGTAATTCTTTGAATTTCTGTGGTGTCCATAGTGATTCTTCCTTTCTCATTTCTGATTCTGTTTATGTGTGCACACTCCCTTTTTTTCTTGATAAGTCTGGCTAGGGGTTTATCTATTTTGTTTTTTTTTGTCAAAGAACAAGCTACTGGTTTCATTCATTCTTTCTATTATTTTATTCTTCTCAATTTTATTTATTTCTGCTCTAATCTTTATTATTCCCACCTTCTACTGACTTTGGGCCTCATTTGTTCTTCTTTATTTAGTTTCATTAATTGTGAGTTTAGACGCTTCATATGGGATGGTTCTTTCTTGAGGTAGGGCTGTATTGCAATATACTTTCCTCTTTGAAAAGACTGCCTTTGCTGCATCCCACAAGTTTTGGGCTGTTGAGTTGTTGTTTTCATTTGTCTCTAGTTATTGCTTGATTTCTCTTTTAATTTGGTCATTGATCCATGGATTATTTAGGAGTATGTTGTTAAGCCTCCATGTGTTTGTAGGCTTTTTGCTTTCTTTCTTTTTTTTTTAGATGTGCAGGAGGTTTATTAGAGGACATCTGTGAGGGGAAAGGAGGAGGGAGCTGTGCGGGCTGAGGGAGCCTCAGACCAGTGTGCTGATCTGAGCAGGGGGAAGCGAGAAGGGGAGGAAGGAACGCAGGCTGAGGGGAAGCATTTTTGACTATAGAGCAGTTCTAAGAAAGTTCGGCAGGGCTAATGGGGAGTCTGGCCAAGGTGTCTGTCAGAGGGGTTCCTCCCTCCCCCAGGAACAGTCCTTCTTTATATTCCTGCTGTGATCAGTCACTGACTTGTGTGACACAGTGATGTGCTTAATGGAAAAGCAGGGTTGTGGCTGATGCAGAGGAAGCCCTTTTTGAAGTGGTGGTGTGAATGCTGTAAGTGCTTATGTGGCTGGGTGAGGGCCTCTTTCTCAGTCTTCATTCTGTTAATTTTCAGTGTGTAGCTAGTTTAAGAACCATATACTTACGTCTAGTTGTGGAAGTGACCACTCCCTCACTCTGCCCCTTGACCACTGTCACCCCATTCTCTGAGCCTCAGTTTCCCCACATGTACATAAGAGGTGGGCTTCCTTGTCTTTAAGACGCAGAGTCCAGTTGCTGAAGCCATTGGTTAATTATGCTCCCCAGTGAGAGATCTGAGAGGGGTATTTTTGTGGCCACCATGGGCCACCAGCCTCTCAGGACCCTCCTCTCACCAGCCTGGCCTGGAGGAACCACTTTTTGCTCTCTTACATTATTTATTTCTAGTTTCATATTTTTGTGGTCTGAGAAGCTCTTTGGCACAATTTCAATGCTTCTGAATTTACTGAGGCTCTTTCTGTGGCCTAGTATGTTATCTACTTGAGAAGAATGTGTATCCTGCTGCTTTGGGTGTAGAGTTCTGTAGATGTCTGTTAGGTCCATCTCCTCTAATGTGTTGTTCAGTGCCTCTGTCTCCTTACTTATTTTCTCTCTGGTTGATCTGTCCTGTGGAGGAGTAGTGTGTTGAAGTCTCCTAAAATGAATGCATTGCATTCTTTTTCCCTTTTTAATTCTGTGAGTATTTGTTTCACATATGGAGTTGCTCCTGTGTTGGGTGCATATATATTTATAATGGTTATATCCTCTTGATTGATTAAATTCTCCCTGATGATACCCCTTTATCATTATATAATGTCCTTCTTTGTCTCTTGTTACTTTCTTTGTTTTGAAGTCTATTCTGTCTGATACAAGTACTGCCAACACCTGCTTTTTTCTCACTATTATTTGTATGAAATATCTTTTTCCATTCCTTCTCTTTTAGTCTGTGTATGTCTTTGGGTTTGAAGTGAGTCTCTTGTAGGCAGCATATAGACAGGTATTTTTTTTTAAATCCATTCTGTAACTATGTCTTTTGATTATTGCATTCAGTCCATTTACATTTAGGGTGATTATCAATAGATATATACTTATTGCCATTGCAGGCTTTAGGTTCATGATTACCAAAGGTTCAAGGGCAGCTTCTTTACTAACAGTCTAACTTAATTCACTTATTATGTTATTTCAAACACAATCTAAAGGTTCTTTTTTTCCTTTCTTTTTCTTCCTCCTCCACTCTATATATTAGGTGCCATATTCTGAACTAGGTATATAGTACTTCAGCACAGTAAGAATCAGTGAATTAATATTATTGGTGATGATCCTGGTGAAAACAGGAATGGATGGAAGGCAAGGGAGGCAGTGAGCCTCATCTTGAAGACTGAGGTTGTTTTATTTTCCAGGTGACTTCTTCACCTCCTGATCATGTGGAGTAACAAATTCCTCCTGATGACAGAGTATCTGAAAGCAAGGAAAGTCAGTCTCAAAGCTCCAGTGAGTGACAGCGTCCTCTATGAACTCAGGAGAACATGGCCCAGGAAGTGAAGACCTAGCACCAATCTTCAGAAACTTGGACATTCCACTTAATCCTTTGTGTTCTAACTCTGAGTCCTATTATGTCCTGGATATGGAAGGACAAACATGCTCCTTAAACCATTACTGGTTTTGTAACTCCTATAATCACATTCCAAAGTTGTCCCCAGAAATACGTTCTCTTTCTTCCTACCCACTTGCTCCTTTGTTCTATAAAGTTTAAAGAAGGCAGGCAGAACAATCCATATCTCATGTATTCTCCCTAAAATACCACTGCCAAACACCCACTGAGAAAGCAGATGGATAATTTTTCTTCATTAAGTAAAGATGTTTCTTGGCTTTAGCTGACATCAGTGTTGCAAATATAGTCAAATAAACAAAAATCATCATCATTAAGATGAATTTTCACTCTATTTGAGGTAGGAGGGTCAAGTCTCACAGGAGTTATTTCAATCGGCTGCTGAGATTCACGAATGTCCTTTAATAATATAATGATGTAATGATACATATCCATGGTATAGAATGGGAACTTTGGAGTAACATCAACATTTGTCAACATCCATCATTTGAAGGATGATGAGAAGTAGAAGGAAGAAGTAATGTCTAAGGGCTTGGGAATCTCATAGATCTGTGTTTAGATTCTGATACTGTCACTTACTACCTGTGTGAATTTGAGCAAGTTACTTGACCTCTCTGACTTGTTTTTCCTCATTTGTAAAATGGGTGTAATAATGCCAACCTCCTCAGGTGTCATGATAGTTAAATGAAGGCACAGCGAATGTGCCCCCCACCTGCTCACTGATGCTGTTGCTGCTGGTCCTACACCCTCCTGTGACGTCAGCGGCCATCTTTAAAATGGTGGTAATTTGATATAAAAGCTCCTGATACATCTGTTTGATTTTTAAATCTGCTGAAGTTCTTACATTTCTGATTTATAACTTCCCCCTCCTAACACTAAACTGAGTCCTCCACGGTGTCCATAGTTTACCCCTATAAGTTACTCTTGCCTCTTTGAGCACAGATTCTTCCACACTGCTCTCTACCTGTCTTCCTCCAAACACCCACACACCCACACACACATTTGTTTGTTCGCTCATCCATTCAGCATCATTCAGGGAGGGCCTCCCCTGTGCCATGGGCTCTGCTGGGAGTTGGCATATGACAGAGAACGATGCCTCGCCTCTGCTCTCAGGCTGCTCCTTGTGGGAGATACAGACTCCCTGTCTACAGAAGTTACAGAAACCCTGTAATTACAACATGGAGTGATAAGGGCTATGATAGGAAGAATAGAAATCTTTGGACACACATAGGAAGAGTTTCTATCCTAATTAGATGGGATGTCGATGAAATCCTTGGTTTCGTAACTTTTTTAGAAGACTTTTCTTCTGTACTGAGGTCTTAGAGTAGACTGGGAGTGAACATGATTAAGAAGAAAAGAAAGAAGGGGGAGACATGCAAGTGTCTAACTAGGGGGTTTGGGATATTCAAGGAACTAACTAGAGAGTTTAGTGTGTCTGACTGATGTGTGAGGGGCACATGGCAAGATATAAGCTTGGAGAGAGAAGTGTGCACATCACAGGAGGATATAAGACAGAGCAATTGAGTCTTGAGAAGCAATTGAAAATTTATGGAGTAGTATTGAACTGCCTTATATTGACTTATGAGAGCTGATTTTAAATTTTCATGGAATACAAGTCAATACATTGTTGAGAGCTTGAAATTGGCTATGGGGGGAGTATTTACACTTCAGAGATTGTCAAAAGACACAATAACATTACCACTTTCTCCCTCTCCCTCCATTTGTGGAAAGCCAGTTGTTAATTATTTACCAGCACTGCTACTGGGTAAGTAAGACAAGCCATGTACTTATTTTAAATTTAGAAATATGCAATGTAGAGTGTATTGGAAGGAATAAAGGCAGAGAAGAAAGTTGGTTATAAATAGCATAGTATTATTTGTATTATCATCTTTCACTATTAAGGTCTACTTGTCTTCTATTATGTTATAAATAAATAAAATATTGCTTTGTATTTTTTGAAAGATATCTGCTAACAAATTTTGATCAAAACATTGACAGCCTGTAGTGAACATTGTGATTGCCTCTCCAGCATCCATTGTATACTCAGATCATTGCCAGTCTTGAGATTTAGGTGGAGTTAACCTGACCGTGTGCTCTAGGGAGACACTGTGGTAGCTCTAAATCCATCAGGACAATTCCATAATTATGAGCATAATTTTGTTAGCCCATGAAATTTCCCTGGTCCAGAGCTTGATTCAGTTGTGGAGCCATCATAATTAAGTTGGAGATTTTCTTTGACAAATGTGAAATACAACCTTCCCTCTCACCATATCTGTGAATGGGGATACAACTAGAACCAGTAGCGCTAGTGGCCATGACAAAAACCAACCTACCAAGCTGAAGGCAACACAAGAGGATTTCAGAAGATAGAAATCAGACTCTAATCTAACCACACCTGCAATTTAACCTATGTCTGCAATTGGCAGTCTCACAAACACATACATTTGGTTTTTATTATTTAAATAATATTTCTTGAAATATCTTCTCTAAATCTGATATTTTGTTTTATTTTGTTTTGTTTTGTTTTTTTCTTAACTCTTATTTTGCTTCCACCCCCATGCTGTTGCTGTACTCCCATTTATTCAGTTTTCATCATTTTCTACATGTTCATTTTCTGCAAGAAAACGTTGCTTACTCAAGGCTATGGAGATATTATTTTACCTTTTCTTATTGAAGTTTTAAAGTCTTTCTTTTTACATTATGAATGTAACATACCCGATTTTACTTTTTCTATCGGGCACAACATCATCATTATTAAGAGCAGCATCCTTTTAGAAAGTCAATAATTATGGAACTTTTCCTTGACTGTCCCATCATTTAAAATATCCAAGTTCACATACATGCCTGTATCTCCTAGGAGCTTCTCCTATTCCAGAGATACTTTTATTGATGTAGATGTTCTACATTATTTTAGATGCATAGTGTAATTACTTATAATTATTTTAATATAGACAAACTAGAGGACAGCATTTATGTATAGTTCTTTTTATCCTTAGGCTTAAGATGTTTACTGCTGGGGAGAAAATTTTTCTTCTACCCACCAAGGTTCTTCAGGCTGGTCTCAGAATCAAATTGACATGAGACACATTAACAAGAGAAAATGAAATCTAATTACATACATATGGGGAATCCACACAGACATGAGATTCCAGACAGTCAGGGATAATGAGGCATATATGTCATCTTGAACTAAGTAGAAGAGGGTAGGAGTCCCAGACTTCAAACGAAAAGGGAAGCAATTCACAGGAACATGACAGAATAAATGTTGGGTAAACACATGTTTGAGGAGCCACACAGAAAATGTGGGACACAGGGAGGAACGTTAGGAGACTTTGCCACACCTCCCTGTCCACCACTCCTAGTTCACATTATAATTATATATGGTGAGAGCTCTCCTCCTGGAGCAGTTCTCAGTCTAGATTCTTTTCACTCAGTTGGTGGGAAGGAGGTCAGAGTTCATTCTGAGTCTTCTGGGCCTTGATTGTTTTCAGCTCACATGTCTCAGTGGCACACCTTGGGGCAGCCTGCCCTTGGCCCTATAAATGCAAGGCTTATTCTGGGTGGCCTTAAGACAAATAGATCTCTACACCTGCCCATCTAATCTTAAAACTTTATAAAGGAGCCTTAGCTGGGTTCAGTCACATATACTGCCCAGTTGGTCTTGACACCACATCAGTATCTCAAGGCTGTGTCCTTGGGGGACCCTCTGGGAGCAAGGTGGGCATGAGGAAGGCACATTCCAAGGAGAGGGAAGGGAGTGAGGAGCTCTGACTTCTGGGGTCCAGCTCATGGGTCAACTGGCAGCCAAGTCTTTTTGATCACCTTTCCTGACCTGCCAGCCCTCATGACCAGCTCTTACAATCTCATACAACCCCTCTTGTACAATGTGCCCTGAGTACTCAGCAAGGGGTCTTACTAGCATGGAGGTGGTTCCTTTGGCAGCTATCTGGCTGCGTTGGAGGCAAATGCCACAGTAACAATGAAGGTAGAGGTAAGAGAAAACACAGACTAAGACAATAATTTCCAAAATTGGTGACAACCTTTTTTACAAAGCACCTCATGATCCCATCCATTGTTTTAAGTCCCGTAGGCTGGGGAAGTAGACCACTCAGGCTGTTCACTTGTGACCTCATGTGACGTTATAATGATAATAACATTAGCAGACTCATCAGATACAATCATGTAACATCCTGTTTGGACAATGGCTCAGGTGTCTCCTTGCCGCAGGTCCGTCCTCTGTGAAACTGGGTAAGTAGGTGTGCTAGGCCCTGGGTCTGGTGGGGACGATGAGTGAATGTGAGCGAAGCGTTTAGAACAGTGACCAGCACACAGTCATCAATCAGTGCACATCAACTCTGTCTGTGATGTTGGTAAACTACTCACCTGTCTGAGCCTGTGAGACCGAGTGTGACACTGCAGGCAGCCACCTGCCTCCTCCAGACATGGCTCTCACTATGAGACAGTCTCTTACTGTGCAGATAGCTGTCCACCACCATCCCACAACCTTTTTCCACCCTTCTGCCCATATTTTCTGCCTGTACGTCTTGTTCCAACAATATGTTAAGCGATATCTCAGAGGCAGATGCCTCTCCCTCCTGATGCCAGCTTCTTAATCAGCGCTCAGCCTTCTGGAAACCCAGGGAGATCTGAGCCCTAAGAGGCACGTGTGGTTATCACTCTCCAGCCACCAGGAAAGCATTTTGCTGACTCATCTAATGTGTTTCATTGGGTAAAGAGACTGTAGACCTGAGTGAGAAGAGGCTGCTGTTTCCTGAAGACACTCATGGTCATTGCTGGTGTCTCTCACTCAAAACAAGGGGGCTTGAGAAGAAAGAAGACTTCAAGGCCTGAAGCCTGCAAGGTAAACCCTATAGATTCCCTCTGCACAGAAAGCCCTCTTTCTTTATTGTCTGTTAGAGGTGCTGCCCTGTGGGCCACTGAGGACGTTTGCAGAGTGCTGTGCCTGGTTGTTATGTAGGGATATGGACCATTTAGCAATGAAAATGGCTTCCCCTTAGAATTTGACTGTTACTCTGGTGCCATGCTAAAAAAAATGCTGAATATGATTATATAATTATGTCTTTGGATAACGTGACATGGACACACACATCCCTTACATATATTAAATCCAAGCTGCTGTCTCCCTTTGGCTGCCATGTCTGGTAAAGAGGGATGGTGTGGACACCCCTGGAACATGCGGTTGGGTGAGTGAGTTCTGCATGAGCTCAGAGGGACAGTAAGGTTATCCTGGGGACAGATCACCAGGTTCTGATCCCTGCTCCTCAAATTGCTGGCTGTGTGGTCTTGGGCAAATCACTCAACTCCTCTGATGGCCTGCTTCCTCCTATGTTAACTGGAAAGGACCAGAGCAGTAGTACCTTCTCATATGGGTGCTGTGAGAGCTAAAGTGGTAATCTGAGTAACACACTAGAAGATGCCTGACATAGACTGAAAGCTAGTTAAGGTGACTTAACGGGTAGATTCTTAGGAGATCTACATGTCTCCCATTAAAAAAAATCTAACTGACCAAATTATAGATCATACTGTATTTAACCTGAAGGTTGACCACTCTTCCTAAAATGTGTAGATATTTGAATAAGTCAAGTTAAATAATGTGGTTAGAACAGATCTTTTTCCTCCATAACTGCTCTGGGGTTTCTCTGTATAATAAACTCCAGTCCTTGCAAGCACATTTCCCATTTTCATCCGTGAGCCATGGCTGTGTCGTACTGGGCCAAATTTCATATATTTATTGATCGTGTATTCACTGAGTTCCTGCATATGACAGACACTGAGCCAGGCCCCGGTGTTACAAGGACAAGAGACAGTGAAGCACAGATAAGCATCCAGCCAGTGAGGCTCAGAGTGGTAAGTGGTAGGAGAGGGAAGTGGAGGGCGACCTGAGGGCTCCTAAAGGGGCTTCATCCAGTTTTATGGGGACTGAACAAAGCTCCTCCATGGAAGTGT